CACACACACACACACACACACACACACACACAGCTAGAAAACCAGTCCCACGCCAATTACATTCTAGTACTGATCCTATCCGACAACATATTGTAATGCGAGGAGTAAACGTCGCTACCGTTTCACTGCTACAACGCGCTGTTACAATCACAGGTCATAAGGATAACTCCTCTTCCAATTAAATCTGGGATTTGATGTCACATAGCCTGCCGGTCGGTACCAAAGCTTTCACAGCCATATATCTACCTTTATACTTGACTACAGAAAATCGCAGCCGTTATACAGATCTAGATATATCAAGAGCTAATAAATACCTAAGGTGTTTATTAGCTATTGATATATATACATATATATATATAATCAGGAGTGTATCAATATGTGTCAATCAATATATATCAATCAGGAGTGTATTGATACACTCCTGATTGATATATAGGTTATAGCATGCCACCCCCAAACACATTGGCCTGTTGACCACCCGTTAAGAATTCCTTCTCGTTCCTGCTCAATGCAAGGCTATATGCGGGGTAGTCTTGGTACTAGTTCCATGTTACAGCTGGGCACATAAAATAACACGTCATAAATGCATGTATCAAACTCGTCGTTATTCAATACATCAACCACGCATATTTCGAAGTGTGGTCTCATTAAGATATTTTAAGTAAACATTTCTGCCAAAAGTACACATTGCTGCTATCACAGAAACTGTCAACACGTTACATGATTAAATTAATTTATGATTTGTTATCCCAGATATTAGGATACCCTTAACGACAACACGTTTCCAAGAAGCTATACGAAAACATGGAGCAAAGTCGGGTATATATATAATAATAATATACGGTAGTGTCTAGACGACCGGACCCGGTTTCGGAGGCCTGAAAACTAAACAACCGGCTCTCTTCTCTGATTGGTCAGTTTCCGAACATAATAGGACAAATATATAATAGGACAATTTTTAATGCAAAACATAAAGAAATATATTTAATTCCGAACATAAACAAAAGTTACAGAACAAATAAATGAATACGGAGCAAATAAATGCAGAAACAAATAAAATACAAAGAAATACAGAAAGCAGAGGAAAATAAAAACATCATATGGGGTTCGAACATGGTCCCTTACTATCACGATTCATGAAGCGAAAGCTCTACCATTGAGACACTGAAACCAACTTGAAAGTCAGCAATATAGACCCTAACCCTAACCCTAACCCAAACCCTAACTCTAATCCTAACCCTAACCCTATCCCTAATTCTAAAATAAAATAAAATTAGCCAAAAATAATAAAAAATAAAATAGTGACAAAATTAGCCATTTAGAGAAGAGAGCCGGTTGTTTAGTTTTCAGGATACCGAAACCGGATCCGGTTGTTTATACACTTCCTATATGGATCTAACCTTGTATTGCCCACACAGCATAGCCAAATAAATGAAAGAACGACAAGTGAAAAATAAACACTTGCCAAGTTCGCACCAGATATGGCGCCTGCTGTACACAATAGTATATAGATATAGATCATATTATCATATAGATATAGTATATATAGATATAGATATAGTATATATAGATATAGATATAGTATATATATATATCATATTATCATATAGATATAGTATATAAATATAGTCATATAGTCAAGAGCTAATTATACATTATAAGATATTATTAGCTCTTTATATAGTACATCTGTATATAGATATGTACGCCTACATCTAACCAAAGCTATATCGCTTCAACAAAATACTGTCATTGCTACACATCAGATACGCGAGGAAGGATGCATGGCATCTGAAATGATTACGATGAATGCTGATGGCAAATTACGGCTAATTAGGTTTTCGCTGAAGATTAAGAATTTCGCTGGACATGCGAACCCACTGGTCAGCACACCCAGCTTGGCTTGGCAACGAATACTGAATATCTCATCGAACACTGTGAGGTGGATGTCAACAGTGAATCCGTCGTGTTCTCAGTCTCCCCTCTGTCTGCTTCCCATCATTTCTGCTTCACTTTACAAAGAGGCGCACAGAATAGTCTATTTGTACGCACGTACGCCCAATAAGATACATCAATGCAATCACGTAACCACAGAACCGCAATAAGTCTATAGAAAACCGGGAGCTGCCGAGAACAGAAAACAAATGACATTTTGGTAATAACTGTACAAGCGTCTTTCATATTCAGCACCCAAGAGGGTGAGTGCAGACAATACAAATATACTCCGTACAGACTGCAAAGGTGATCCTATACATCAAACTAGTCCAGGCCAGGCGCGCGCTAAATTTAATCGATTCAATTTGTAGTCGCTGTCACGTATACGTGGTAACACACGACAAATGAGCGGGTTAGTCGACTACACAAGAGAGATGGTGAACCATAACATGAGAACACAGTTCAGCTGTTTTCACACACTTATGCGGTTTTAAGTATGCCCCACTTCCTAACAAAGGAATAATTGGCGATTCCAATAATGTGGTCTGTGGGAAATCTCAGTTTATTCTGCAAGGGACCAGTGAGCGGTGCACAATGTACGGACAAGTATGTCAGCTATTTGGTTATGAATCACCGCAAAGATCTCGGCTATTCAAATTGCAGAAAAGTGGATCAATAACAAAGCTTTTTGCTCCCAAAACTTGTGGTACATGTATGTGTGTATGTAAGACAGCAGGCGGGAGAGAGAGAAAAAGAGAGATGAGCAGACACAGCTAATAGAAATAGAAGGTTCTAAGGTTACATGTCCACTCACCACTGTGTCAATTCATTAATGGCGAGGCGTGGGATTTTTTGAACAGCAGTGAATGCATTAGTGGGACCTTCGTTGCTCTATGAAGTGATGTGGGGAGGGTTTACCATGCAGGTCTAGATCTGTCCTAGGCATACGATTCCTATTTGTAATTCCTATCCTGTTGTTTTTACTAATACAAATAACTTATTACTCATATAGTGATTGTCAATATAATGCAGCCAAAATATAATCAAAAGTACATGTGAACGAAAACTTTATGTTAGAGTGAAAATGTTGCCAGAAGTTTTTTAAACACACCTCTCTTTTCACACATAGCATATTTCACCAAGGACAATGAGTGCGATAGAGAGATTTCTACCGAGTTCATGCATAATTAACACAAACATGGCAGCAGTTAATGATGCTTCGTAATTGCCAGTCGTCGGCAGCAGCGATACAATCCGAATAGAAGCATTACATCTATCAGGGGTTAATAATGACACAATTTGTCATTATTAACCCCCGCAGAGATGCCAATACTTTTCTGAGCAAACTGTAGTGAGGATGTCTGAAATCTGTAGTCCGAGAGTCACGCAGTGACCCGAGTATGCTATAGGGGGGTTCGGGGCATATATGCCCCAAGAAAATTTTTGATTCCGAGATGCAATTTCCTGCATTCTGGGACCCAAAATGACAATAAGTTCACACTGATATTTGCTGCTAAATACATGTAGTTATTTTCAATCATGTTATATCAATGTAACACTGAAACAAAACACTTGAAATATCACCAAAATGATGTTTTTTTCGATCGTAATAAAAATCGTAGTTGTATGCAAACTGGTCGGAGTGGTCAAAATGCAAACGAAATTCGTATAAAATACGGATAAATCGTAGTGGTTGGCATCTCTGCCCCCCCGGCATCTATCGTACCTTGTTGAGGTAGGAGTTCATCCATTTCGTGAAGGTCTTCTTCTGTATGTATATCCGCTCCTCCTGCAACTGCTTGATCCGACCCTTCTCAAAGTTGGCCGTCGCGTCGTAGTACTGGTGGCTCATCGTTGCTGCGAATTATTTACATGTAGTATCTGCAACGAAACGATATCACCATCACTAACTATCCATATAACGATCACGAACCATACACACCATACACCACACACACGCACACAACACGGACCCACACACACGCACACGTGCACCGCACGCACGCACGCACGCACGCACGCCCGCCCGCACGCACACACACACACATATATACACACACACACACACACACACACACGCCATACACCACACACACCACGAATCCACACACGCACACGCACACACACACACACCCACACACATGCACACACACACACACAACACACACGTGCGTCTCTCGCTTCCGTACGACCAGAATCGAGATACATGCCATCAAGAGCTAATAATATAGTATTAATAGCTCTTGATGCCATACATGCTCGGTACATGCTAAATTCATGAATGTGCATTATTCATTTATCTCTCACCCTCTCTCCCTCCCCTTCCCTGACCCCTACCCCACATGCCTCTCACCGGTTAAAAGTGAAAACTCGAGGAGCCGGATAGTGCGTGGATTTGGCGGAATGCGGCTACAGTAGAATATACCTGTGCAACAACGAGGAAGTTATTCCGCAAGCGAGCAAAAACTCGTTGTGCAGGTTTACAGCACCGTCATTAGGTATCCCCTGCGCCACAAGCTGCTGGTCCACGCAGCCCGCTGTAAGCACACACGTACAGGTAGGTACAGGTAGTATACAGGTATAGGGAACAGGTGTAGACGTGTGGCTGGCTGGCTGGCTGCGGGGGAGAAAGCACGGCATATTTCATCAGCGCGCTAAACCGCTCGATCAGTCTCCATCAACACGATGGTACACACACACGCGCGCGCGCACGCAAGCACGCACGCACGCACGCACGCACGCACACACTCTCCCTCACTCTCTCTATCTCTCTCTTTTACGCACACAATACACACGCACGCACACACACAGTGGCACACACACACGCACGCACACACACACACACACACACACACACACGCACACTCACACGCACGCACACACACACGCACGCACACACACACACACACACACACACACACGCACGCACGCACGCACGCACGCACGCACGCTCACTCACACGCACGCACGCACGCACGCACGCACCCGTACATCATGTGGTGCGAGCATAAACACTGCACACGCTACATAATACACAATAGAGCGCAAACCAGCGCCTACTGGCAGAGCATACTTTGGACTTCAAATCATAGAACACCCATCGAGGTGCGGCGGAGTTTCCATTCTAGGAGATTTTTAACATAAATATAGGTTCCCGCTTTCTACGTGTTACCAAGAGTAGATAAATAACAAGTAGATAATGTTATTTATCTACTCTTGGTGTTACGTGACTCGGATACCGCCTCTAGATAACAAAACGCCACGAGACCAAAATGCTTTCAATGCGTAATACAGCGAACTATGACGCAAGTAAACAAACATTCGGTCACTATTTATATTATCGCCAAGAAATTCAATACACGAACAGACAGAAGTGTACACACTGGGAAGTAGCAGTGAGCTCAGATAAGCCAGCTATCAGAAAACCAGACGAACGTCAATGATAAACGCTACCGCATAACTTTCTATATAACGATATAAAGGGGATATAAAATCTTTACTGGCCGCTTATTTCTCCCTTTATCCGCCTAAATTCCAATTCTTTTCACATTCACATTGCTTCTATCAACAAAAGATCCCTTCTAAACTTGTCTGTAAGCTATAAAGCCTATTGGAACCATCGAAACCCCATCTAGTCACTTTTTTCCCTTCCATTCCCTTTTTTTCCATTCTATTCACTATTCGCAGACCCGAGTGCCATAATGTCTTACCCGCAAAGTACACGCACGTATGCGACGCATGCGTTCACACTGATACATATACCTTCTGGTCACGGCGCAGATTGTACAAGTACGGGCCAACCAACCTAACTGCCGCCCAACAGAAATACACTGCAGTGTACCCGTATAACACACTGCAGTGTACCCGTATATAACATTGCAGTGTACCCGTATAACACACTGCAGTGTACCTATTGTAGGTAATATTGCTATTTTTAGTCCAAGTCGCGGAACCCTCTATACTAGCTCTGTAGGTTGCTACGAGAGTAAAAGCTATATGTTTTCACGTGGCATGTAGTATAGGCATCTTGCATCTACTGTCAGACTACTGTACAGTTCTATAAGCAGGGTGCGAAATTAACGAGTTGCGAGTCCGGAGTCAAATACTCCCTGATTTACTGTCGGACTCCCTGATTTGACATATATGAAGGAGTCCGTGTGACTCCCTGGAAATTCTGTCATACTAACTAGTTCATTCCAGAGCACGGTCTCATGGAATTACCGTATTTTTTCAGCAAATGTCAGAGAAAATTTGGCAGACGTGCAACCGCATGAATCTTCAAAATAATAAGCACATGCGTTGTTAATATCTTTAATTTTGAACTTCAGACTGCGGACTCCCTCATTTTGCCGCGGACTCCCTCTTTTTGAGGGTAGCTAGGAAGTCCGTTGGACTCCCGTGTTCAAAAGATAATTCCTACCCCTGACTAAGGATCTACTCTTTTCTCGCTGACTGCTCTTATCTCGTTCATGCAGAACACACAGTTCAGGCAGAGAATGGCGATATATGTGAACTGCCCAAAGAATGAATATATATACAGTGAATGGTGGAAATTCATTGATAACGTGAATGCTGCATAGAGACTGCTGAATGCTCGATGAGTGACGGAGACACGCCAGCCGTATATAAGACCAAATACTAATCAATACCTTATTATTAAAAGGTATTTATTAGCTCTTGATAATTGACATATAACTTGTAAGACGCTGTATGGTAGAAACATTCACTACGAACCACGATTTGACAAGTTTGATCAAACTGAAGCATTTTCGATTAACTCATTTTAATGGTCACGTGGTCTTGGGATTGTTTTGGTCGAACACATTTAACTGTGTGAGCATCGTTCGGTATGTATAATACCCGGAAACTAGCCACTCAGTCAGTATTAAATATCGTAAAGGCTGGCCTCTAGATATTATCAGGAGATTATCAACTGAAACCCACTCGCAGCTTACATTGTTAAACGTTACGTGTGATACATAATTGCCCATAAAAGCATTAAATGAAGACTAGCGGGAAAATTGTCTTGTAACTACGTTAGCTTTACAGTGGGCCTTAATCAATACAAATCACATTAAAGAATGCCATATGTGCCAGTTTTAAAGAAAATTCATCAATACTTGGTCTTGGAAGCAAAACCAACTGTATTTGGCTAGCCATACAAGTATCGGGAGTGCAGTTAATTATTAATGTCGGTCTAGTTATTCTATATTAACAGCTTTAAATTTTAATCAGCTACGCCCGGCAGGAAAGATGATTTCAAATCTCTCCTGACCTCAACCTTCAGCAAGACTGAAAATGAATTTAAAAATTGTTTACACACCTTGTCTAAGCAAAGTGGCAGCAAAAAAGTGGCAGCAAAAAAGTAAGCAACTAAACAAGTGGCAGTATTGACCAGTGTGTAATAAATACGATACGTGTAATAAATATGTGTAATGAGACGTAAGGAGACATTTAAAAACAACTGGTTCTCAAGGTTGTAGGCAAAATTTTACCGATTTTCCATTTTCAACTTGTACATGTACATGCTCATCTCTCCATATAACGGTACATGTGAACTGTCAGAGCGTTTTGATTGCCCGCGTACATGTGTAGTGAGCCGCGGCTGACGTCATGATGACGTCAAAGACATGATGCAACCAGCACGTCCACGATATTCACTAAGCCAGTATCATTCAGCATCAACCCTGCTACAGCTGTCATATTACATGTATTCACGTTAGTGATGTCACGATCATCGATTATACTCGATCATCGGTTGAACAGTGGCTCGAACCAAGCGCTTAGTGATGTCACGATCATCGATTATACTCGATCATCGGTTGAACAGTGGCTCGAACCAAGCGCTTTGTTATCAAAATCCATAATCGATTTCATCAGAAAAAAAAAAAATCGAAAAAGTGATGAGAATCAGAGATATCATCGCTACTATACAAGTTATCCTTTATTAACATACATGTATTATAAACACAGTAGTAAACAGTGCAAAACAAACAGTAAACAGGGCTATAAACAAGCACATACATGCACACGACGTTACGCACACGCAGGCATTCAACACCCCGAGTAACCGATTGTAACCGCGTGATCATCGGTTACTTGGGTCCACCCGATGATCGATTACGAAATTACAACCGATTGACAACACTAATTTATGTACATTCATGTACATCTGCTTGTGTCGAAAGCGTAATAAAAGTTATCCTCCCAACACCATTAGGATTAATTACTAGTGATTATCTACGCATGTATCATGTATGTATATATATATATGTATAAGCCTCTCTAATCATGTCTTCCTCAGTTGTGTGGATATTTCAGCCTCCCCTCTCTATATCTGCACCACCTTCTGGTCATCTCTCTTCCACATATTAAAAAAAAAAGAGATTTCAGTATCACTTACCCGTAACCACGAGGAGGTACTTTCATTCCTCCGCCATACCTTCATAGAGATTGCAGTATCCATGCCCCTTCATTTACGTGCAACCTCATTCCCACACCGCCCGCACCTTCAAGGAAGCTATACTTGATCTCTCCTCTGACATTTATGTATATTTCAGCATCATTCCCCCTCGCATAATCGATCGTAGCCTCCTTCACCCACGCTCACACCGAAAAGGATATTTCAGTATTCTTCTCATGGATACAACTGCGTGGAGCCTTCCGCAAACATCTATGGATTGCTCTGCCACACCGCTACTGGTATTACTGCATCCCGCTGCCACGCCTAAATGAAAACAGCTCTCATCCGCAGCATGCAGCTCACACTTCCATATAGCACTTCCTGAAGCCATCGCACACCTACATGCAGATACCTGTATCGCTACCTGCATGCATCCATGATCAAACGCACCGACAGCAACGTGCCTGCATCCTCCCGG